CGCTGGGGGGAGGGTGGCTTCATCAGATTCTTCTTAAAATTTTGAATAATAAGAATAACATTATAATATCTGACATCTGAATTTCTGATTTGAAGTGAACTCAGAAACCTACGTTTATACAGAGTATTTAAACTGTTGGCCTTTTGCTGACTCTTCTCTCTTCTTTGGTGTCAGCCTTTTAAATCTTCATTTTGCTTGGCTAGTAGCGTGTGAGTTGCACAGACATTATTATTAAACTTCTCTTCATCCATGAATTTGGCTTTGCTGAAAAGAGAAATGGTGAGGAAAGTATTAAATCCACAATGATACTGGGCTAAAAAGTGATTGCAGTGTAGTATCATGTCTTTATATGAATTGGGGTGAAAATTTTTAATAGAAAAAATGTTTTAAAACGTAAACACAATCAACACAGTGAGAGAGTGCTATACAACAGAAAGACTAAATTTCCCAGATGTGATGACCTTTCTGGGGTCTAGAAATGCTCTGCGGAACTGATTCCTGGGAATTTCACAGATTATACCACTAAGCAGAAGGCTCTAAAGATCCGCAGTTGCCACTGCCTTACAAACTCAGAGCTCCCAGTTTCTCAGTGCTGGCAATACATTTAGCAGATAGAATATTTTAACTCTAAATTTACTTCATATTCTGCTTTTTTTTCATGCTATGTTACATTTGAATATGAGGTTTTGGGGACAAAAGATTACTTGCATCCCTATTTGCAGAGGTGGAAAAGAATCAGATGCAGTGGATCTGTTCTTAACCTATTACCGTCTGTACCTTCTGAATTTGGCCTCAGCATTGCCTATAACTTTCTTGATGTTTCACTGTTCCCTACAGCTTGTGGTATGAATCTGGGATGCTTAGGTGATAAGGAGTCTCTCATATTAGATTGAATGGTGCCCTGTTGCCCCGGCCACACGGATGAGCCTTCAGAAGTAATTTCTCAGGTCTGAAAGGTTTCCTGCTAGATCCCTGCAGTGCAAGTGCTGAACTGACCATAGAGCCTGTTGTGCTTTCAGGCTTTGAGTGGCAAGGACAAAAACCTTTCATGTAATTGTTTCCTCCAGACAAGCAAAACCTGAGAAAGCTAGTGTTATCAGCAGTATAGCTGTCTGCTCTCTGGTCTGTTCTAGACCAGAACAATGTTTGTACCTACAGACTAATTTTGGAAGCTTTTAGTCCCTACTTGTAGAATAAAGCCATCAGACTGATCTAAGGTGGTGGACTGGTGTTTCAGCAATTCCCAGCTCAGCTTTGCTACTCAGCACATGGATCCTGGGGTGCTACTAGAAAGATTTCCATAGAGACATTTCTAGGAAAGATTTGTCAGGAACAGACTCAAAGTTATGGGTCCCATAACTCCACATCTATATAATCATTAATGTGGGTCTAGCAACATTTATATATAGCTCAGAATAACAATTTAGTGAGGACAGAGTGCAGATTCTTCTTCATCCACATTTATGGAACTTCAATTTAAACCTAACATATCTGTTATTCAGGTGGTATATATCAACGTAAGTGCCCTGAAATTATTTTTTGTTGTTTAGGGACTAGATTGCTGTCCTTAAATCTTTTTTTCTTAAATATGTTGATATGTTTTCTCCTTACGAGGACTTCATAGAAAAATAAAACAATTTTTACATCCATTTTTATAAATATAATACATATATTTCTTATAAAAATAATTAATCCATACATTTCCTTGTAGGTCTCCTTCTACTTCATCTAGTGAGAAATTAAATGTCTTCTGCTATGTACTGTCTTACCATGCTTAGTATTCTGAGTAAGTTTCCTCTATAATTTCTGGAGTACAACATTCTTGCTCTGGTGTGCCATTTCTGTTGTAAAGAGCTTAGGCCTGCATCTTTAAGTGTTTTCTCTAGATTTATCGCAACAACGCCTGTTGTTTTTCCCTATATTGATTTTGGCAGCTTCAATTAAAACATGCTTTCTTCATGTAAGAATCCCTTCAAGGAATTTCTGTCAAGTAGTTAATTGTTCCTTTCCAACTGTCACTAATGAGAATATTAGTTCCTCTTTCCCCCTCCATGTTACATATTTTAAAGGTTTTTAAATTTTGAATATGATTAAGTTGCCAAGATTAACTATCTTGACTTCTGACATATCCTTACTGTCAAGTATATTACATTTGCGTTTTATTCTTTTTAAAATTAGATGGAATTTTCAGCTATCCTAATTACTGTTTTGCAAGAATGGGTAAAAAAATGCACATCATCTATGCATTCATCATAATTATCTCAATGATAAAACACATAACAATTAATTTGTCTACAAAGATGTGTTGTGAATATGGTTTAAAAAATGGGGATTTCAATGCTCTTGAAATTCCCCGGAGGTGTTTAGATGTAAGTTACTGCAACTGCGCTTGCACTTATTTGAAGTGATCTACAGGCAAATCCAGTGCCTACACGGAGGCCTCACAATTAGTCTATGTAAACATCAGACTGATGGGAAAAGCTTGTCTGCAGGTGGATTCAAGAGGTTGTCAAGTCACTGGGTGCCATAGTAGCAAGGCGCTAAGCCACGTTTACTTTGGCAGCTAGGGTCCTTCATGCTCTGGAAGGATACTTCTTGCTGAGTACTGTGGGCATGCCCTTCCATGTTTTCTGGCCGAATGGATGCTACAGGTGACCTTGTGAATTTACGGTAAGGGATAAGTTATTGATGTCTTCTGAGAGGCTGGTCTCTTTCCTCTCTTTTATCTCATCTGCTTATATGACAGAGTAGAAACAGTCTTACCCAACACGTCTTGAAAACTGATTGAGATTTTTCTGATCTCTTTTTGAACTCTTAAACCCAAACGCCCACCTTTGCTTGCCAAATACCAATTAAGTCACAGCTTCATGTCTCCTTGCAATACTTGCAGTGCTAAGAGATTTTCAGTCTGTATGGCTTAACACAAGTGAAGTTTCTGGCTTCATTAGGATAGCTCAAGGATAGAAAATCAGAACCCTGTGGATTCTTGTTTTATTTCAGATACACTGCTCACATAATTTTTTCTTACTTTGACTGTTTTCCCATCACTTGGTTTTATACAACTGGTGTTTAAATACAGTTTTGAGATATCAACCTCTTTTGCTTTTTAATAACTCTGTGAAGTGCCTATGAATACTTTTTTAATGCAGTTGCTGACAGCACAGCTGAACCATTGTATCTGCAAATGAAAGAGTTCTTGTACAAGTAACTCCCAAAATGGAGTAAAATGCATACCTATGTTTAAGTCTAAAAAAGCCACAGATTTTTATTTGATTAGGTGTAAGCCAGATACCTTGAAATATTTAGGTGAGGAGAATATATTATTACTTGAATGACAAGTTAAACCCCACTAGATTATTTATTAATGTGAGAAAAGCAATTAGTGTTTCAACCTAAATGTTTAATGTTTCAGGTTTCCTCAGAACTGCACTCGCTTGTGAATTAGAGGTTGTACTTTCAAAGCAAGTTTAATTTCCACAAACTTTATAAATGCCATAAAAAGCAGGGACTGGAGGTCATATACCTACCCACTCTTCATATGAGGCAGATTTCAGAATACAATGAAGTAGATGAGGACTTTTCTCACACTCATCTCTCTCTTTCTGTCTGTCAGGGTGCCACATGCAGTAATGCTTTAATCCATCATGCCATCACCTTCACTAAAACTGTAAGTCAATGCTGAGCTGTCCACCCACTGCTTTCCTGCAGTGTTATCCTTAGGTGTGCAGAGAAACAGCAATTAAACAGACTGGTTTGGCTCAGGATCCCTGTGAAGAAAGGCTGAGAACAAGGGAGGAAGTTCCCCGGGAAGTGAATCAGATCATTGATAACTGTGAATAGCTGGATTTAATCAGAACTTATAAAAGCTTCTCAGCAGGACTGTGGTATGCAGAATTTAAAAAAAAAAAAAAAAAAAAAAAAAAAAAAAAAAAAAAAGAAAGAAAAAAAATAAACGGAATGTTCTATTTGAGGTTTCACACTTACTTTTACTTTTCAGAAATAGCTGGTCTCTTCCAAGTGAGGAAGAACCAATTGGAAGACACTGGAAAAAGTTTTAAAATGTTCTTGAACTGCTCAGATAGCAAAAATAAAAGGGGAGGCAGAGTTAAAGTATGTTCAATTTTAAAAAATTATGTATTTTCTTAATCACCCAGAATAGAACTATGAAGAGGGAGAAGGATTTTTTATTCAATATTACACTATTTTCTGAGTTCAGAGGTTTCTGCTGATGAACCACATCCTTTAGAAAAGATGGAAGACTGGCACATGATTTTCTGTGGGATGAATTTATATCTGGGATGTTTGAAAATATGAAAGAAAGGAGAGACCCCATGAAGTCCACCTGAAAGAACACATACCTGTTGAACTGTAAGCTTATACATGTTCATAGTATATATATGTGTGTGTCTGTGGTAATAAAACACCTATATTTATATAGCAAGAATTTCTACTTTTATATATGTTCTGTATATTTTACTTTATTTTATTTCTGCTGCATTCCTAAGGAAGATGCTTTTTCTCCATCTGTGAGAGAACTGTGGGATATTTACAGGGAAATCTTTAGTGCAAATGGCAGCACTAGGCAAAGCATAAAAGATTTGAGAACAAATGCCCATAAAAGGCTTATCAGTTGTTGTTTTTAAAAAGCTATATTATTTAAATAAATTGAATAGGGGCAGAGAATGATCTGGAGACCTGGTTTGCAAGTATTGGCATAGTGTGTGACTATTCTCACACATTCAGGCATGATTTGTGTTTGTGCCAGACAGTTGATGTCTAGACACTTGCCAGATATTGTGCCCAACACACTGTCTAAATGAGTGGAAGAGAATTCAGGTGTATGCATATAAAGACTGACATGTCATTTGTTGATGTCAAAGCATGGCTCTTTCCTCAATTAGAATTAAATATTTTCTTCTAAAAATACTAAAGGAAAACAAACCTAAACAGAACTCTGCAAGGTAAAAAAAAACAAAAACAAAAACAAAAAACACGCACAATACTTCTACTGAAAATGAGACTCCAAATTTGAGAATTCATCCCAAAATTGAAGAAAAATTATCTTCCACATATACAAAGTTCAGCATGATAGAGAGAGGTTCTTCCTAGTTTCTTAGTTAGGCAAGTCCTTCTGCTGTGTAAGTGGGCAAACTATCAAAATGATCTATCACATGCCACAGTAAGATCAGATAAGGCTTGTTTTCTTCTGGAGAAGATAGGTCACACATCAAATTCCTTGTAAAAGGTAGTCTTTGAGGTCACTTCTAAAGTTCGCTTTCTCAAGAATATGAATAGTAAAGAGCAGAAGGGACATCAAATATAGTATCGGTATTGACACAAAATTTTGTTAGCAAAAATGATACTGCCAGAAATTTTCTCACAGTGACATCTAATAAACTTTAAAGCAATTTTTAAAAAAAATCCTTTTTCCAGGAAAACTGAACCTAAAACCACACACCTTTTTTCCACTCATCTGCTAATTTCATGTACTTGCACATTAGTTCCGTGCACATTCAAACTCTTAAAATTGCAAAGCTAAAATATACATTCATGATTTTAACTTCAGAAATTGCTTGGATAGGTGTGGATGTTGTCTGAAAAAAGGATGAGAAATGAATCATACATTGCCAAGAGTAACTTGACCTTAATCAATCTGCTGAATAAGTTGTCTCTCTTAGCCTTTTGGAATTTCAAAGGAAAATTTAAAGAGGAACTTTAACTTAGACAAATAAAAAGGTATACATATCTCAGCATCTTTATGTGTATGAATGTTATTTATGGTTCAAATTATATTATGGAAACATAAATATGTTTTTAGACATATGCTTATACACACACACATGTAAAAAAGTAGATAGAAACTGCACACCCAAGATTTCTGATGTAAAACTTTTTTTTTTTTATCCCTGTATCAGGAAGCAACTTAATCTGGGTACATAAATACTGAAATGTTGAGGAAGTCTAAGTAGGATTTCAGATATTCTGAAAGTCTGTTCTCACGCTTCTCCCCAGGTTTTATTCTTACATCTAAATTAAAATGTGGAATATAATTTTTAATATGTGTTTAATTTCTTTGTCATTTCTTTGGGTATGGTATTTGCATATATGTTAGGTTCATCTACTTAGAGAAGAGGATATTTATCAAGTGATTTAGGAAAGCAGCAGCCTAGTTTGAAGCCTGTCTTTTCGATGAGGCAATAGGCATTAATAATTGACCAATCTTTTAGGCTAGCACCCCTGCACTAAAATTAAATCCTCCATCAGAAATGTACGAATAGCTCAAATACACATAAAACCCTTCAGATTAATTGGCAAGCAGAAGTGAGGTCACACACTGTCAGAAGTTTACCTCTCTGATTCTGAGTAGCCACAAGCCTCCATTGCAATCTCTGAATGCCTCAGGTGCAGAAGTAAGGCTCCAGTGTGCTGCACATCTTTGTTCTGGTCACATACTTTACATATCTCAGCAGCAAAAAGTGACTACTTATTTTTGTTTTAAATTTAAATTTAATAAGCGATGGTACCTGTCAGCTTTGTCACCTCTCTCTGAAAGATCAAGAGCTATACAAGAAGCAATACTATGGGAAGATTAAAAGAGACTCAAGCAATGGAGAGAATTTAAAAGACTAAAAGCTAAACAAAATCAGATAGCCAGATAAAAAGATAACCAGTAGAGAGACATCAGAACTATGACAACAAAGATATAGGTGGCGGCATAGGCAGGGATTAAATGAAAATGAACAGGGAAGGGGGAAGCAAAAGAACAAAGAAAATATCAGCAAAGAGGAAGAAAGAAGGATCAAAGGAAATAAAATTAGATATACAAGACATAAAAGAGAGAAGCTACAGATCAAGCCTAATATTGCAGTATACAGGCAAGTCATCAAACAAACACCTCCTCAAATTCTGAAATGATAGTGGAGAAAAAAATCTATCTTCCTAGAAGCTTTAGCAGAAATCAGTATTAACACAATAGAAATTCTTTAAGGTGGAAACATTGTGTGCTTCCACAGTCAGCTGTCCCCAGTTTTATTATATAAAAATATGTATAATTTTAAGGCATACTAAACTAAATAATGAAGAGGCAACTCCAGTTGGTACAGTAGAACTGTTACAATTCAGCTGAATTCTTCAAAGAGCATAAAGATCTCATTGTTACTATTTGAATAACATAGTCTGTTCTGGGTTCAAGAAGCATGAAAATACGTTAATAATATGGTTTTAAAATCATATTCCTATCTTGGAATAGCAAAAGTGTTCTTGGTCAGTACTAAAACCCCTCTAAAAAGCCAACCTCCTTAGAATTAGAAGGATTTCTGCGTCCTGGTCATGGACACCACATGATAATGATAAAAATATGTGAAAGTTATAATTGTTCATATGAATAATCTCAACCTTGGGCTACACTAAATGAATCATAAATTCTTTGTTAAGCCTTATAAAGGCTACTGTGAGAAGAAAATAAGATATGTGAGTAACAGTACACAGCAGATGGTAGGATTATTTTTTATGAGTTTCTGACTGCCTTTGTCAACATTGGTTGATTTGCCTTTTCTAATAGATAATCTTAACAGCTGTAATTAAACAATGAACAGTATGTCCTCAGTTCCTGCAGAAGGCATGATCCCATCGGTGGATTAGATATAGTTTACCATAAAAGCTTCAATTTTTAGTGACTGAGCTTTTTCTACACTGGGATTGAGGGTCTGTCACAGTCTACTTCTTTTGATCTGCTTGAATTTTACAAACTTGTGTTTTCTAGAAAGTTATATGAGGTTATCATAGGCTCATTGTCTATAATGAGTGCCAAATGTAAATTTTGAGATGCACATTTGAGTAAATTGTTGCAATGACTTGTGGGACAAAATACCTCACTGCTCAGAAACTGCCAGAAGTACACAGTTTGTGAGCTGTCTGCACTGCTTTTGCAATCTTTTCCGACTTTTAGCTCTTCCATGAGAGAAAAGTCACCAGGCCAGAAGAAGTTATCTCAGACCACATTAGACAGTTAAACTTAATCCAAAGTGGGATTTGTATGTGTGCCAAAAAGCCTTTTGTTACCTTGATGGCATCTGAACTGATGTAGTGCTAAATCCAGAAAACAATATCAAGATTACTTAAAACATAAGCACCTGCCTCTTTAAGAACCAAATCCATGAATGAAGTATATGCTGTATTATGTTACTTGTCATTGGAGTTAGAGAGAGAAACTTAACAATGTGTCTCCTCCAGCATAACAGAAAATCAACATATTTTTAACACCAGTTTCCCAGAGCTCAATCTGTACCTAAACGTTGTAAAAAAATTGAAAATGTGCAATCAAATGAGGAGACAAAGAATAAGAGAAAAGAGTTGACTTCTGAACAAACTAATGAATAACACAGAAAGTTCAGTTCTTAAAATGTGTGTACCTAGGGTTTTTTCTAGAATAAAGGTCATAAAGAGGAATGATCGAGCCTAGTGGGTATCATCTACATGCAAATGTTCATTAATCTGAGTACATAGCATCTGAAGATCACAGTTCTGAATAAAACAAAAAGTAATAATATTATACATACTGGAGCATAACCAGTGTTTTAAAGGTGCTCATAAAAAAGCCAGCACTCTCAATATACTGACACCCTGATCTGAGAAGTTTACAATCTGGACAAAGAAAAGAAAAAGACTCTGTTATCTAAAGCACCAAATACTTTTGTCATGTTCTCTTTTTTTTGTTGTTTTTGGGTTTGTTTTTTGTTTTTAATCCTTGGCAACTTCATTGAAATCCAGTTAGAAATACA